AGTCGCCAGTTCTCAGCTTCCAGCTCTACAGATTGCTCCGCGTACTAGAGTTGTACTAGAAAGTCACCAGTTCTCAGCTTCCAGCTCCACAGATACTCCGCGTACTAAAGTTGTACTACAAAGTCGGCAGTTCTCATCGTCCAGCTCGCCAGATACTCCGCGTACTAAAGTTGTACTACAAAGTCGCCAGTTCTCAGCTTCCAGCTCTACAGATTGCTCCACGTACTAAAGTTGTACTAGAAAGTCGCCAGTTCTCAGCTTCCAGCTCTACAGATTGCTCCGCGTACTAGAGTTGTACTAGAAAGTCGCCCGTTCTCAGCTTCCAGCTCCACAGATACTCCGCGTACTAAAGTTTTACTACAAAGTCGCCAGTTCTCAGCTTCTAGCTGCACAGATTGCTCCGCGTACTAAAGTTGCACTAGAAAGTCGCCAGTTCTCAGCTTCCAGCTCCACAGATACTCCGCGTACTAAAGTTGTACTACAAAGTCGCCAGTTCTCATCGTCCAGCTCGCCAGATACTCCGCGTACTAAAGTTGTACTACAAAGTCGCCAGTTCTCAGCTTCCAGCTCTACAGATTGCTCCGCGTACTAAAGTTGTACTAGAAAGTTGCCAGTTCTCAGCTTCCAGCTCACAAATTGCTCCGCGTACTAAAGTTGTACTACAATGTCGCCAGTTCTCAGCTTCCAGCTCACAAATTGCTCCGCGTACTAAAGTTGTACTACAAGAGCCGCCAGTTCTCAGCTTCCAGCTCCCCAGATGCTGTGCCTGCCACGAAATCTGCACATGGAGGTTCACAAAGCGCTGTGCCTGCCACGAAATCTGCACATGGAGGTTCACAAAGTGCTGCACCTGCCACGAAATCTGCACGTGGAGGTTCACAAAGTGCTGCACCTGCCACGAAATCTGCACATGGAGGTTCCCAAAGTGCTGTGCCTGCCAGGAAATCTGCACATGGAGGTACACAAAGTGCTGCACCTGCCACGACATCTGCACATGGAG